AATGAAGTCCTCAAATCAGTTGTAGCAAAATTTAATGCTGCCCAATTAATCACAATGAGACAGCAAGTAAGTCAAGCATCAGTACCTTACATTGAAAAACCAACTATACACAGAATCTATTTTGCTTAAATTAATCTTTCCTGCCATTGCACCAACATGATGGCATTTTCATTATTCAGTAATCTTTTTGCATTTGTGAATTAGTCATGTTTAATTTTTAAGTTATAAGTAATAAAACACAATGTATTTTGTTGCAAGAGAAAAGCCAAATAAAGAAAAGCATGTGACCAAACACAAGTTTCAACTTTGAGTTTCTCACCTGTATTTCTCCTGTAGGTCTCTTTGATGATCCGACGTGATTTGACTCAGAGAGCAGAAGACTTCAACATAATCCTCGATGACGTTTCCATTACTGAGCTCAGCTTTGGCAGAGAATACACCAGTGCTGTTGAAGCCAAACAGGTAAATGTCTTTAAGTGTATATCTATAAAATCAGTAAATCAGCTCCAGCCAAAAATGTGATTTTTGCACAAGTTATAAGGGAAAGCAATTATTTTGTACCTTGTATTTATACCAAGTCATTTATTTATCACAAATATTTTGCATTATTCATGTGCCATATAATGCTGTGTTTGTACATGTAATAATATGTCATTTTGTCTCTTGTATTTATACCAGTCATTCTTTGTTGTCCATAGGTGGCCCAGCAAGAGGCCCAGCGAGCCTCTTTCATTGTCGAGAGAGCGAGACAGGAGAGGCAGCAGAAGATTGTGCAAGCTGAGGGTGAAGCTGAAGCTGCCAAATTGATATCCTTTTATTGCACTAGATGATGATACATGTGAAGAACTAATATCTGTCATAGTTTTTTGTATTTTAATATTTCAGGAGGGAAGTGAGGGGTCATATCACTTACTTCCATACGGAAAACTTGCCTTTTTAAATCAAAGGAAATTATATGCATTCAGTGTTTGGCCCATTTAATTAAATGCAAGGTGCACCCCCTGTTCCCATACTAAAGCCCATCACTGTAATGTAAACCTCACTCATCATGCCCCACACATTTTTATTTTGAACAGTGATATCTAGCTGTTAGGATTGGATTAAATTTCATGCCAGCAGTTGGCTCAGGAATTTGACTTGCTAGAAGTAATTTGAGGACAAGGGCTGTACACCAGGTTGACTGTTGGGAAGTATCTTTGTCAATTAAAGTCTTGCTTTCATTGTCATCTTATGATGATATAATACCAGTCTAATGGTTTTGTAACTGACTGTAGGAGAGAGTTAAGAACTACCATTTCCTGATACCTGCTAGACATTTCAAAATGTTTTCATCAATAGGGTATTATATAAGTTAGTATTTTTTATATTTTTTATAGGGGATTGCAATGCATTGATCTAATTTTTTAGCAGCCTTGTACCTTCTTTAGCTTTTATTCTTAGCACAAGGGGCTGCCATAGAAAACTTCACCTAAATGTTGAAATACATTGGACAAACCAGACTTGAATTACAGTTGGCAGTTGTAATGTACAACTTAATGATTTAATTTCCTTAAAAAAAATTTAGTCAGCACTAGGCCTTTAGTTATTTTTATTTTCTTCATTATTTCTTTTATATATTTATTTATTTGTTTGATATTTTAGACTTTAGAAGAATTTTCCTTAACTTTTTCTCACATTGGTAATGCCATTGGGTTGAATCCAGGTTACCTGAAGCTTCGAAAGATCAAGGCTGCTGCTAGCATCGGCAAGACAGTAAGTTAAAAGCTTCTAAAGGAAATGAAATGCATATCATGTGATTTGAATTTAGATTTAGATTAAAATGTATATAAGAATAGAAAGTAGTTGCTAATATTTGATGCATTTGCCTTTCAGATTTCTCAGGCACAGAACAGAGTGTATCTTGGTGCTGACACACTGATGCTCAACCTGAATGACAAGGAGTTTGATGCCAGCGCACACCGTGTGACCAATAAGTAAAACAGATGTTTAGCCAAGAAATATGAAAGTTAATGGGCAGTAGAGCAACTACAGTGTATTGAAGACTTTTTGTCAGCCATGCTATAATTTGAATTAATTTCTCCTTTTATGATTTTTTTTATAGAAAATCTCATCAGTATGTACCCCAGTGCTTTGATTTGCAGATACATGTTTTTCCTCTTCTCTCACCTAGGTGTTAGAAGGTTAGACAACCATACTGGTTTACTTGCCTTCAGTGGATATGTATGGAAGGATTTAAGTTTTGTTAGTTTATAGTAATAAACCTTGTTTTGTACATGAAAAGTTGAGAGATTCGTGGATATTTTCAGACAAATGTACATATGTTATGAATTCATTTGTCAAAGATGTATATAGATAGAAACAAATATGGGCATCCACTTTTTTGCAAATAAATGTATAGGGAAAGTTCCTCATCTTTTTATTCCCTAAAGACTTACCAATTAATGAAAGAATAATGAATTCTAGTACAAGACATCAGTATGCTGTAGCACAAGATACTGTTCTTTTTGAGACCTGTCATATTGCATTATGGGGGACAGTGAAGTCTTTCTTTTACGGGAGTGCTCCCTCCAATCCCTTGGCCGTTGTTGTTTTTGGGGGCCTACCTTGTGGCTCAGCCCTTACCTATACTAACTTTGCAATTTTCTTCTGTGTCAGTCATGAACGGCCTCTTATCTTGCCCACATGTTTCAGTCTTACTATGGCCACTAATAAAGAATTTGTACCCTTATTTGGGGCACTGAGGCTTGCCCCTATATCAAATAGCCTCTCTGAACTAACTCCTCTGGTTTACCGAACCTTGTGACTATCTTTTGATCACGGCTCCGACCACTGCTGTTACATCCACCCCCCTTCGACATGTGCTGTCAACTTAACCCAACCTGAATCATCTACCGAAGTTATAACTCAAACAGCAAAAGACACCCTCGCTCCCAATATCCTCTAACCCACCTCTTGCACAATCATCATTTTCTACCTCCTCCTCCTTTATTACAACTCTTCAACCTTATTGCCCTCATCCCTGCAGTTACTGTCTCACCACACCACTCCCTCCTCCTCCCGTCCTCGTCCCTCAACAATTCCCACTTCTGCAAATGTTTTGAGTACTCTAGCCCAGCTATGTGAGGCCGATTTTTTGTGATTCCTCCAACAGCCCCTTATTCTGGTTAAACCCTCCTCTTTCAACAGTGTCTGCAAAAACAAGTAGGCAGTCGCCCTGATCGCTCATGCCTTGTCACAGTAACATCTGAGTCTCAAGCCCATGCACTATCTATCCTATTCCTGCCCAACCCCACTACTCCCTTAATACATGTACTGGGACTGTTGCCATCTCCCCAGCTGATTTCCCAGTATGTGACAAAAATTGGCGAAATTGTGAAGGCGACCAACTTCCCTGCCTTGCTGACTACGATCCAGTGTCAGTACAGTGCTATACTATTCCCCAAGAGGCCGCCATAAGTCCCACATAATATTGCCAAAGTTCCCATTCGAAGACCCCCCCCAATCCCTTGCCCGTTGTTGTCGTGGGGGGGCTTAGGAGGCGGAGACTGGGACCCAATGATGGGGAACTCCCCAACCTTGGGACTCAGCCCTCGACTCAACTAATTATGCATGGTCTTTTTTTTTCCCTTCCCACTTTTGTTTCTGTCCCTTCACCAAACCCTTCTGCTATCCACCTCCTAAGGTGTGAGAGCCGTGCTGAAAGGATGAAAGGCTTGACTTTGTGCCAGTCCTGAACGGCCTGAGGGAGCCATGGGCACGGTATTCCCCTGATTTTAGTTATCTAGCCCTTACCCCTCAAGGGGACCCTGAGGGGTGGACTGTTTTTATCCCCAACATAATCCAGGCTTACCATGGCCAGTAATGAAAATATATCCCCACTGTTAGGGTCAATGAGGCTTGCCCCTTTATCAAATAGCCCCAACGAAGTAAACCCACCCGATTCCCTGACCCCAGGCTCTCCTTTGACCACAGCTCCGAACACTGCAATAACTACCCCTTCATCAATGCCGACTAGTACAGTAGCCAGCAATCAACCCTCAAGGAACATTTCCACTCTCCCAGCATGCTCAACTTCAACACCTCTACCCCCACAACCTCCAACATCAACCACCCCATCCTCCCTTATTAATACCTTACAGCCTTATTACCCACCTCTCCATAACACTACTTCCCCCAACACTACTCCATCTTCGTCACGCCCCCGCCCTTCTACCACCCCTATCTCTAAAACAATCTTGAATACTCTCTTTAGTGCAGCCAAATGGGACCAATTTTTCGTGATCCCTCCCACAGCTCCCTACTCTGACAACACCCTTCTCTTCCAACAATGCCTCCAAAAACAAGTAGGGAAAGTCTCTTTCCGTAGCCGACCCGACCGCTCCCGTCTTGTCACAGTAACATCCGAAAACCAAGCTATAGCATTAACAAAACTAACTGACCTATATGGTAACCCCATCCTTGCAGAACCCCATCCAACCCTCAATACTTGCACCGGAACAGTCTCAATCTCCCCAGCAAATTGCCCAATCTATGACAAAGATTGGTCAGATTGTGGAGAAGATCTACTTGCCTGTCTCACAGACTACGATGCAACATCAGTACAATGCTACTCCATTCCCCCCAGAGGTCATTGAAAGAAACCCACTAACATAGCCAAAATTACCTTCCGTAGACATGACCTTCCCTTTAACGTCTACATAGGAGGAGAATCCCTCCCTGTTCGTCCATACCAACCTCCTCCACGTCAGTGCCAAAATTGTTGGCGTCTAGGGCACCCAGCCAAACATTGCCGTTCCACAGCCACTATGTGCCCAACCTGGCCATACCCGATCTAACTGCTCTGCACAATCACGCACATGTGCCAACTGTGGCGGCCCCCATAATGTATTTTATAGGGGCTGTCCCACCTACAAATTTGAATCTGAGGTAGCAACTCTCAGATTCAAACTTGGACTCACACTACGTGAAGCCAGGCAGGAAGCACGTCGACGTGGATTCTCTCTTACTCCTTACTCCAGTAATACTGCTCATTCTAATACTTCTCCTAAATTCACCCCTCCTACATCTAACCCCCCCACTTCTACCTCCTACCTTCCCCAGTCAAACTCTTTTGCCATCCTAAATCCAGACACTCCAATCTCTACTACAGATACTCCAATCACCACTACAACCTCAACACCTTCCCCTCTCCCTCCTCGCACTCCCCGTAACAGACAGAACAAACGTTCCACCCCCTCTTCCCCTACCACACAATCACCCCCACCATCCTTTGCCCGTACTCTTGAGACACCAGTCCTCTCTTCCCCCCCTCACAAGAAATCCTTTATCCCCCAAAACTCCCCAACCAACTCCACAGAAGAAACTATTGAAAATATTCAAGATTACTTAATGAAAACTGACACTCAACCTACAACTCCTGCTCCTTCCACACTCCAAGTAATTGCTGATATCCATCCTCCTCCTAACGATATCCCCCCTACACCCTATCCTCCTACCCCCTGACCCCAACCCCGCCCACATTAACCCTCCCACCATCCCCTCTATCCCTTCCACTCCCTCCTGGATACACACGTGAATCCCTTATGTCACAAGTATCCCCTTCCTCAGACCCTCCATCTCCTAATACCCCTCCTGATAGAACACCAACTCCCACACCTCTCCCATCTCAAACCTCTCAGTCCTTATCCCACCCTCTAGCTGCTTCCCCTTCAAATTCTCCAACACGTACTACAATCTATATCACTAAATCAACGAAAGTATAACTATCCTTCATTGGAATATTCGCGGTTTCCGCTCCCACAGACCTGACCTTCGTCATATCCTTTCCTCTTATAACCCATCTATTTCTTACACATCCTCCAATACCAATCCCCAATTATCATTTTGTCTCTTCCCCACATTCCCTTTATGTCTCGTCCATACTTTAATCTAACACCCGACCTTTAACCCTTTCACTCACCAATTCCTTTGCCCAGCTTAGACAACTAATCACTAACTCAACCACCCTTCACTAACATTAACTATAGTGCTACATGACCTTAGATGTCTAGCACATTTATCTTGCTTTTAACCATTAACCATTAACCCATTCGAAGACATGACCATGACCATAAGGTCTATATCACAAATGTTGGCGCTTTGGCCACCCTGCAAAGCACTGTCGCTCCACAGCCCGCTGCCCTCTATATGTTCAACCTGGTCATGGCCGTTCAAACTGCCCAGAACAATCACATACATGTACCAATGGCAGTGGCTCCCATAATGTATTTTAAAGAGGCTGCCTGCCTAGTAATTTGAGTCTGAGGTAGCAATTCCCAGATACAAACAAGAAACACCCGACGAGGCTTTTCAGTCACTCTACTCCAATATCATCCTTCACTCTAAAAAAAATTTGTTTCCCGAACCTCCCCACCCAAATCCCCTCCAGAAACCCTTGAGGACATTAAATAGTTCCTAAGCATGACCCACAAGAAAGTTCCTCTCTCTCATACATCCAATTTCTCTACCCCAATTCCGGCTAAATTCAAAATGACTGCCGACATTCCTCCTCCTCCTCCTCCTATGCATCCCTCGCACCTCCCGACCTTACACTTCCAGGTGTGTTCCATGGTGGAACGTAGAATGTACTAAAGCACTTCAGTTGAAGCGTGCAGCTTGGAATAGCTATCAACACAAGAAAGACATCCCCGGTCAGTTAACAGCCCTCATATCATTTAAAAAGGCATCAGCCCATCTTCGCCGTACAATCCGTAACTCCATGACAAAACCTGGCATAACTTCATCTACACCAGTCTCTGCAGTCTGGCGCCGGATCAATAAACTATCAGGAAAACATTCTCCTCATTCTACCCCCGTCTTCCATATCCATATTAGCCTCATCTCTGACCCTCTTCAAGTAATTACTGAACTTGGTGCACCTATTTTAGCCAGGTCAGTAGCGGCTCTCACCTTTCTCCTCTGTTCTCTTCTATAAAATCAGACAAAGAACGTACTTCCATCTCCTTCTCCCTCTATGGAATCTTATAATGAACCTTTTTCTTCTTTTGAAATCTATTATGCATTACAGTCATGCTGCAACACCCACGAAGGCCCAGGCGGCATACATTACCGTATGTATGTTCCTACCTTCTATCAATATTCAGTGACATATGGACAACCGGAAACTTTCCTCCCCACTGGCGCAAAGCCCCTGTACTATCTTTCTTATAACCAAACAAACCATAGCACTCACAAGGTGTTTATGCAAATTACTAGAAAGGGTGATTAACATCCGGCTAATGTGGTACCTCGAATACCACAACCTTATCTCTCCAAACCAGTTTGGATTTCGGCGCGGCCTAAGCACAGCTAATCCTCTTGCATACTTCGAAACACAAATCACATCAGCATTTGCACGCCGTGATTCAGTATTAGCTGTCTTTTTCGATCTAGAAAAGTCCTTTCTTTCTGATCGCACATCCCATGTCAGATTTGCCTCTTCCACACTGCCTCGTGGAACACACGGCAGTGAAAACATTCCTTCCTCTCCCAACATTGTCCGCATTGTTTTTTCAACCCTCTCCTCCCATATTACTATTCTTCATCCTTATTGTCCTCCTCCCTCCAGTATTACCTCACTCTACTCTTTTTAGCCCAGCCAAATGGGATCGATTCTTTGTAATCCCCCTACAGCCCCTTACTCTGATAACACTCTCCTCTTTCAACAATGCCTCCAAAATACAAGTAGGCAAAGTTTCCTTCCGTAGCCGTTCCGATCGTTCACGCCATTGTCACAGTTACTTCTAAGTTCCAGGTTCAAGCATTATCTACCCTGACTGACTTCACTAGTAAGCCTATTCTGCTACTCCTGACCCCTCCCTTAATACTTGTACCGGAACTGTCTCCAATTCCCCGAGATGACTGCCCTGCCTACGGCAAGGATCGTTGACTATGATACAGTATCAGTACAATGTTACACTATTCTCTCCAAAGACCGCCAGTAAGTCCTACATCAATATTGCCAAGATTACTCTCCGAAAGTATGACCTCCCCATGATGTTTATATTTGCGAAGAATCCCTCCCAGTCCAACCATATCACCCCCCCCCCCCCCGTCGATATCAGAATTGTGGCGTCTAGGCCATTCTGCCAAACACTGTTGCTCCACAGCTCATTGTTCCATATGTGCCCAATCCCGTCATGATAATTCAAACTGCCCTACGCAATCACTCACTTGTACCAATTATGATGATATATTTCATAGAGCTCCGCCCCCCCCCCTTCTTCCCAAGATATTTCTATATTTCCCTTAGTATCTCTTCTTCCTCCTCCATGCATTCCTCGCCTACCCTCTCCTTCCCCCAGTCATTTTTTTACCATTCCACATCCAGGCACTCCAATTTCACAAGGGCCCAGACTGCATACATTACCGTATGTTATGACACCTTCCACGTACTTCCTTATGAATTATTTCTGATTCTACATTCTACTGGAATATCATAATTCACAATCTTCAGCGTAAAATGTCAGTTATCATATATAAAGAGAAAGACAATAACTCGGTATTCTGTTTGCCTGACCGAAAATGTCCGAGTGGTACTTAGAAATAGTTCGACAGAAACAAGTCAGAAGTGAAATTTTGTATAAAGCAAAGCTAAGGCCATATCGCTGTGTTATATTGTAGATCTACACCTAAGGATGTTAAAATCATAAATCGCATTTTACAAGTGCCTCATAAATATGACTGTCTGGTTTTACTAGCTGATTAGTATAGGAAGAATGTGGGCGATATGCCATGAGTTTGTTAGTTTGGCGCTTCCAATACGCTTCTGCTTTATGGTCGTCCCCTGCGGCAAAGTTTTCGTTACAGTCCAGACGTTTCCATGGTGGGCAGGCATGCCGGTTGGAAAATTTCAGCGCTACTTGTATAACTGCTTGGCAAGTGCAAATGTCTCCAGGTGATTTGAAACAGGTTTCCTTCGAAGGAAAAAGTCAGTGGAAGAGACGGAGGAGAAATAATGAGGTAATCAATGAAGCAAAGGAGAGTTCTTGAGGACAGAGTAAGATACAGTTCTACACAAAGATCAAGGCATGCTTAACTCGATATTTTTTGACAGCTGTGATATGAAGTAGGAGCTCGAAGAAAAAATAGATATTACAAAAACTATTCAGAGGACAAGCATCATAAGCAGCACATGAGAAATTCAGAGCAGAGAGAAATTTTCCATCGAATAAAAAGTAAGACTAAAAGAGAAAATAAAAATGGTCGTCTTTAAAGCTGAAAACATTGGCTTTATTAAAGAAAAAGAAATGTGCGAAGTCCAAGATAGATTTTTTTTTTACACAAATAAACTACTAAAAAATGTCGATAAATGACATGTACGCATACTTCCGAGGCCTAAAACCTTGTATACATATTTACAGACATACACACACACATACATAATACATATACATATAAATGCACATATACAGACAGCCAAACCTAACATTTAGGTAACTCAACCGACCCCCCCCCCCCCGTCCCATACACACGACAGTCACTTGTTTCAGGATCCAAACGTCTATAAATGTTTATAAACGTTTATTTGGTTTCGCCACTTATAGTCCCACAGCGCAGACGGAGTTGTCCAAGACGAGAGTAAACGCAAGGTATTTTATTTATATTTTAAGTATTACTGACCCAATTGTATTGTTATGAATACTCCTTTAGAAAGATTATATGTATCTGCTTCTTTTTTAGGTCAGGATTTTGCGATAACTTTAGTGAAATACTATATTTTTTGGTATTTTTTTTGCTGAAGCTTACATTGACAGTGTTAAATAGGAAAACCTAGAAATTTCAATTAGAGTATTCTTGGACGTTATGCTGAGTATAAAAGAATATGGGGTAAATGTTTAGATGACCCGCAATTGCAAATCTTAAAAATTTTGATTATAATGGCTCTTTTCTATTCTTATCCCCTTGAAACCTTCTGTGATTGTCAACCTTCCTCTTTGCATATTCTGGGGAAATAGTAATTGGATATGTTTCTTATTTGCTTATAAATCACTAGGGGAGGTCAGGAAGTTATAATTTATCAGAGTGTACAAGGTGGAAGTTTGCTGGCCTTTCCAAGAGTGCCAGTATGTAATGTATCGCCATTGGTAGACGCACAGTCGTCTCCATAACAATTACCAAATTATTCATATTATTAGTTTGTGATATTATTGTCATAGATGGAAAGTATCATTAGTATAAACCTATTAACTGGGTTACTAGAAATTTACTATTGGCCATTAATGCGAGTTTATTGGTACACATTGGCAGCTTCCCTTGTTAGCACCTGCCTTGTTCAGTACTTCAAGCTCAACATTAAGCATGTAATAGCTTGTAGGTGTATTTTATAAGAAAAGTTTTAAAAGTGAAGATTTCCCTCCACTATAAGTGCCTGCACGGGATATATCATTATGCTGTTCAATCCACTATTCAGTCCCCCACAGCCATTGGATGATATCAGGCTTTCTGCAATCAGTGGGTTAATCATTACCTCATGCATTATTGGTGTATTTGTCAGTCTGCATAACATTTGGTGTTTTTGTGTAATTTTTCTAATGTCATTTTCACAGGCATTTCTGGTTAGTGGTTAATATCTAATGCATTACACTGCAATGTGAATTTCACCTTTACACATCTAACTTGGCCTGCAAGTTAGCCCTACTCTTTATTTAGTTAAACCTAACCAAAATTATTAGTTTTATATTATTTAAATATAAAGGCAAAAATAGTCAGCACATAAACTGTGCTCATTTTGACAAATGTAGTAATGGTATGAATGAAAATGAATATCTTCAAAATGCAAGAGAACTTTTTGACTGTTCTTGATTATATCCAAGTGAGAAATTCATGTAATGGTGACAAAGATATATTCGAAGCTGGTCAGATACATCTGTTGCACTTTGAAGATATTCATTCTCATTCATACCTTCCTACATATAGTCAGCACATGTTCACTAAAAATGACTAGTAGAACAGGATGCAGACCTAATTTGATTCCTTGAGATTAGTCAGAATGTCAATTTAGTACTTGCCAAGGACAGAAAAATGGCCATTTTAAGAAAGATGTTGATCTAGAAAGATTTTATTGCTTCATCTAACAAATATTCACTCATGCATATATTCACATAAGTATGCTTGAACACTCAGCTATTTAAGTTTGTAATTCCTACATCCATTTATCTATGTATAATAATAATGAATTGATAATCATTACAATTAAAAACAACTTTTTTTTTTTGCAGCATGAACACACCAGATGGGTCAGACTCACCGGGTCAGATGGCCATAGAAGTGTCACAAAACAACATGGAAGTCTTCAAGAAACCTATTCAGCCAGCTCCTCGGAAGAAGAAAAAAGTGCTAGATGAAGAGAGTTATGTCAAGGTTAGATAGAAGTTCCAAGCTTAATTAACATCGACAATTTTGTTTTTACCTCCTTAATTATTAGTTTGTCAGTCTGTTGAGTGTATTATGCTTTGTAAAATCTGTTGATATTATTGATCACTGGTGCTGGGTACTTGCACCATCCACTGTAATTTTCTTAATTATGTTTATGCACACATAACTTCACAAATAAGTAGTCATCACAGAGTGATTCCTAGGCTTACCTAACTCTGCCTGTTTGGCATATAATTTTTTTTTTGCCTTGGAAAAAAATACTATATGTTTTTACCATTTTATAGATATTTTTTTACACTAATTAATATTGTTGTCATTATCATTATCATAACATTATTAGAAATAACTTTCCTTCCATTGTGACTTTGAGCTAATAAAACAATACCATATTTAACAGTATACTCATGCACACCTGACATTGGTATGTTAAAATCATTATTAGACAATGTTTTTCTTTTTCTATTTCAGGAAGTGGAGAAAATAATAGAGAGAGATTTTTTCCCTGACCTGGAAAATTTGAAGGACAGGCTAGAATACTTGGATGCCAGAGAGCAGAATGACATGGTCAAATTAAGGGAACTTTACTCCAAATACTCCGCTGGGAAGGAAACGCCTGTCCTCCGCAATGTCGAGGAGAGTCCAGCAACATTTGAGACTCCCTCTGAGAGCCGAGGAGATGCAACACCCAGGATGGCAAGTGCTTTTGGAGAAGGGTTGGAAACACCAGAGACGAATAAAAAAGATAAACAAAGTGACAAGAGCTCTGTGAGTGGCAAAGAGATGTCGCTGGATGAATTCCTTCAAAACCACACAAGTGAAGATAATGAAAGCTTTGAGCAGATAATGGAGAAGAGTGAGCAGCGCTTCAGGGCCAAGGTATGAGGTCATACTTTTGTGATAAAACTTGGTTGTAATTATAGACAGTTTGGAGAGAGTGGGTGATACTGACCCCCCTATAGGAGGTGGAAAGATCTGGGGGATGGTGAGGTAAGAGGCTACTTTAGGGGCATGACCAGTGAAATTGTTAAATAGATTGGTTTACTAACTTTGGTTTATTTGTGAAATATATCTTTGTGTTTAATCTTGTTTTCAATTTGAAGCATACAAAAAAAAAAAAAAAAAAAAAAAATTGTGTATGAAGGGAGAGAGTGCTAGGAATTCACCTGGAAGCCAAGTGGGTGCCAGCCTGGAAAAGTTTGGGAACCACTGCTGAACCATAAATTTTCTTTTTGGCAATTTGGATTTTTTTCTTCTGTCTTGCCATTTTTTCTTTCAACTGGAGCTAAGTCCAAGTTATTTTTCATTTTTAGATATGTCTTGTTTTTTACATTGACCTAAATTTATAGACTTCAAATTTATAGTTCAGCTGGGTACTGTGGGCTGATTTGTGTGGGCAGTAACCTGTTTTTATTCTTTCACCCATATCCTTCCCTCAAATTAACATACTGAGAGGTTCTGTAGTGGTCCTGATAATCATTGAAGATTTTTTCTTATTTTTCTCTCTCTCCTTACAGTACTATTGGATGTTTGATGCAGAAGAAAAACACAACAAGGAACACTTACCAAATCTTGCCCTACCAACGACTGAGCAGCAAGCTCAAGCCTCAACCTTGGCCATCACAGGAACCTCAGTGCAAAATGATACCCGGCCCAAGCAGGTGGAAAATTGGAAATTTGAAACGTTCAACTCTGTCATGTTTGTGCCTGATGGTGAGTCTTGAGAATGCTGATCTTTTCTTTGATGGCTATAATTGTAATGGATGAGATATATGATACTTTCTAGTGTTTATGATGGTAATAAGCCATTGCAAAACAAGATAGTAATAGCATTATTTATGATTAAAATTAACTTTATTTTGATATTTCCTTCACAGCGGCACCTCTATCAAAGGCAAGATCAGTAGAACTTGCGAAACAGAAGAAGCGGGAAATAAGCCTTTCAAACACCAGGTTTGAGGGCAACCCCTTTACTGAGACCTTGAGCCAAGCTGCAATGATTGAGGCGTCAGCTATCCAAGCCAGCAAAAAGGAGGGCAAAGTGGGAGTGGATGGTAAGCTCTGAAGATTACGTATGAAAAGTACATACATACATACATATACATATGTGTATATATACATATGTGTGTATATATATATATATATATATATATATATATATATATATATATATATATATATATATAGTATATATATATATATATATATATATATATACATACACATATGTATATATATGTATGTATATATACATATGTATATATATGTATTAAAGTATTTATATGTATGTATATATGTATATATATATGTGTATATATGTATATATATATGTGTATATATGTATATATTTATATATGTGAATATATATATGTATATATATGCATGTATATATGTATAAATGTATCCATATACCATGTATATGTATGTTTATATGTTTATATATGTATATATATGTATATATATGTATGTATATTATATATATGTATAAATATGTATATATATGTATATATTTGTGTGTGTGTGTGTGTGTATATGTGTTTGTTTGTTTGTTTGTTTGTGTTTTGTTTGTGTGTGTGTTTGTTTTTGTGTGTTGTTATTTAACGTCAAAATTGCATTGAAAATTTTTGCAGGCAAGGAGCTGGGGAAGGACACCCCAAAGGTGAACGGCTATAGCTTCGTGACG